CATAATACATGGAAAAAGAGAAATACTTCTCTATCATAAGGAAAAAACGGAAGTGAAAGGATGGTGGTAAATGAGAATTAATACTCGGCCTCAGTGTTGGGGGCAATTGGGAGTAGTGCAGATTGCGGCAAGCTGCAGAGCACAGGTGTGATTCAAGTGGGCAGTCACCATTCTGCTTTACTGTAGCAGATTACTTCCTGAAGGCAATATGGCTTTCATACTGCCAGACATCACAATTTTTCAGAAAGAAAAAGCTGCAAGTAGATACAGGTTTCCATGAGCTATATCCTGATTTTTAAACATTGGCAAAAAATTTAAAAAAGCCACTGCATAGGTAAAGCCAAACAGCTTTGCAGCTTTGTAGTTACTGGTTTTTAAATTCTGACTAGACAGGGTAAGCAATGAGGACTGCAGAAGCTACAGAGGGACCAGAGATAAAGAATTCTCAAACCGTTTTCATCTCAGGAACAGACTTTCTCTTTTAACTGTAGCAAAAGCCAGTAATGGTTTCCCAGGCAACATCCAGCCTGGCATAGTCTAGAAGCTCATGTGCTTCATCATTTCTTGGTGGGCAAATTTTGGCACAATTTCCCAGAGTCTTACCAATCCAGCAATAGAAGCTGAGATGGTCTATTGAGTATCAACTCCCCGTCATGGCAAATTTAACCTTTTTAAGTACAAAGACTTCTTAACGAATTCTCATTTAAGAAGAAGAGGAAAAAAAAAAAACTTTGTAGCACATTGAAATCAGGTTCTCAAAGCCCAAATGTCTCATAAGTATCTTCTAGGTGTTGTTTATATTTTATTTGCATTGCTTACAATGAATATAGATAACTGGATATTTGTAACACCAATATACTGATATGGTACTTATCTGAATGGCTTTTAATATTTTTTCATAATTGGGCAGAGCTTAGTGGCCCATTTTCAGATAGGTGCTCAGGTTTATACATGCCACTCCTCAAAGATGAATTTAAAAATATTTACTTCCTTTGTTAAGGAGTAATAATAATAAAATATTCTTAGGGAAGTATCAATAACCGTACTAGCTATAACTTAAAAAAAGCTTTTCAAGTAACTTCAAACAAATCTCTATTTTGTTTTTCAGAACAATGAGGAAATATAAGGGTATTTGAAAAGGTTCATAGAAACATAGAATATGAATATGAATATAAATTCTCCCATGAACTTTTTGAGGTACCTTCATAGAATTTAAATGAGCAATTGTGCCTTTTAACTCACATTACATGGGTCCTTTACTGTTTAACTCTCCTTATTATTTTTTCCCACTTACTCTCTAGTGAGCTGAATTGGGATGGATTAGGGTTATTGGTCTGGTGAAGCAGTGGAATGCTGCCATGGATCAGATGTGTCTGCCAAAGCTCATGTGCTGGAAACTTAATCTCCACTGTAACAGTGCTAAGAAGGTGGGAAATCCAATTGTGTTATTTAAAGGTGGGGCCTTTAAGAGGTGATTGGATCGTGTGGACTGTGCCCTAAGAATGAATTAGTCCATTCATGGAGTAATGGATGGCCTTGGGAGTGGTTATGATGGCTTTATAAGGAGAGAGAGAGTAAGAACTTGTTCATGCCAACTCTTGCCATGTGATACCCTGTGTTGCTATGGAGAGTCACCACCAAGAACAAGGTCCTCACCAGATGCACCCCCTGGACAGCGGACTTCCCAGACTCCATAACTGTAAAAAATACATTTGTTTCATAAATCACCCAGCTAAAGGTATACTGTTTTTAGCAACAGAAATGGACTAATACAAATGCTGTATGCACATTGTATGCTGATACCAGCGAAGCATTTGGCCAAGTCTGTCATTATAGCCATGGCCTTACAGATAAGGTGACAATATATGTATAGGTTAGATGAGAGCATATTTCACTATGATCGTAGTCACCTACACTCAGCATTTCATTCAACATTCATTTAGCAAATATTTATTGGGTATGTAGTATGGATTAGGGCATATAGCCTAAGCACTGCTGTAGGTTCTACAAGTATAGGAATGAATACGGACTCTTTTATAGAGGGCACTGAAAAGTAAATAGAGGATTTTAAGCAGGGGAAGATATATTTATATATATAAATAATTATACATATGGATATACAAGGGTACTTCAAAAAGTTTATGGAAAGATTTGTGTTCTCTTTTAATTGTATTTTCCATGAACTTTTTGAAGTACCCTTGTATATGTATTAATAAATATGTAGTTTTTAAAAAGATAACTGTAGCCTTGAGCAGAGAATAGATTATATTCTCACCAACAGTGGATATTGCAATATTAAAATAATTTTAAAATGTCATAAGTGAAACACATTATATCATTATAAAATGATAAAATTAAATTTTGTAAAATTTAAAAAACCAGTAGACTATTTTAAAAGCAGTTTTAGGTTTACAGAAAAATTGAGCAGAAAGTGCAGAGTTCCCATATAGCTTCTACCTTCCCCTCAAAGGCCCCCCTATTACTAACATTTTGCATTGTTGTGGTACATTTGTTACAACTGATGAACTAGTATTGATATATTAACATTAACTAAAGTCTATAGTTTACATTAAGATTTACTCTTTATGTTATATAGTTCTATGGATTTTGGCAAATATATAATATCATGTACCACAATAGCAGTATCATACAGAATAGTTTCATTACCCTAAAAAAATCCTGTGCTTTCCCTACTCATCCCTCCCTTCCTCTCTGAGAAACCCGGGTACCCACTGCTTTTTTTTACAGTCTCTATAGTTTTCTTCTTTCAGAATGCCATGTAGTTGGAATCCTACAGTACACGGCCTTTTTCGACTGGCTTCTTTCACTTAGCAATATGCATAAAAGAATCATTCATGTCTTTTTGTGGCTTGATAGTTTATTTCATTTTTACCACTGAATAATATTCGATGGTATGGATGTACCCTAATATGTTTATCCATTCACCCATTGAAGGACATCTCAGTTGCTGCCAAGTTTTGGAAATTATGATACAGCTGTTATAAACATTCAAATGCAGGATTTTGTATGGCCATAAGTTTTCAACTCATCTGGGTAAATAACAAGGAGTACAATTGCTGGATTGTATAAGACCATGTTTGGCTTTGTAAGAAATTGCCAATCTAGGGCCGGCCTGGTGGCGCACTGGATAGTGCGCCGCTTGGGAAGCGCGGCGGCGCTCCCGCCGCAAAGACTATTAATGTTTATGATAGAACTTTTTAAGTATTAAATTTTTTTCAGAAAAAAATAATCTGTGTGCAGGTTTTTGTGTGGGTGTAAGTTTTCAATTTCTTTGCATAAATACCAAGGAGCACAATTGCTGTATCATATGGTAAGATTATATTTAGTTTTTTAAGGAACTGCAAACTGTCTTCCGAAATGGACATAACGTTTTGCATTCCCACCAGCAATGGATGAGAGTTCTTGTTGCTCCACATCCTCACCAGCATTTGGTGTTACCAGTGTTTTGGATTTTAATCATTCTAATACAGGTATGACACCATCTCATTGTTTTAGTTTGCAATTCCCTAATGACATATGATGTTGAACATCTTTGTATGTGCTTAGTTGCTATCTGCATATCTTCTTTTAGTGAGGTATCTATTTAGGTCTTTTGTCCATTATTTAACTGGGTTGTTTTTCTCATTGTTGGATGTTAAGACATCTTTATACATTTTGGATAAGTTCTTAATCAGATATGTGTTTTGAAAATGCTTTCTCACAGTCTGTGACTCGCCTTTTTTATCCTTTAAACAGTGTCTTTTGCAGAGCAGAGTTTTTAATTTTAATAAAGTCCCACTTATTAATTTTTCTTTCATGGATCATGCTTTTGGTGTTGAATCTAAAAACTCATTGCCAATCATAAGGCCACCTAGATTTTCTCCTAAGAGGTCTATTATCCATTTTGAGTTAATTTTTGTGAAAAGTGTACTGTCTGTGTTAGGTCAACTTTTTTCTTTTTTCTTAGGTGGGTGTCCAGTTGTTCCAGCACCATTTGTTTGTTTGTTTGTTTTTTCCTTTTTGTCTTTTTTTGTGTCCGGCAATGGATTGCAACCCTCAGTGTCGTGCCCGTACCGGACCAGGACCGGCAACGGGATCGCAACCCTTGTTGTTGCGCCCGCACCTTGCTCAGCCAGTGAGCGGGAACCGGTCTGTATGTGGGATCCGAACCCTCGGCAGGAGCGCCGCCGCACTCCCAAGCGGCACACTGTAGCAGTGCGCCACTGGGCCCGCCCCAGCAGCACCATTTGTTAAAAAGACTATCCTTTCTCCATTGATTTGCCTTTGCTCCTTTATCAAAGATCAGTTGACTATATTTATGTGGGTCTGTTTCTGGGATCTGTTATGTTCCATTGATTTATTTGTCTGTTCCTTCACCTCACTATCTTTTTTTTTTTTTTGAGACCGGCCGCACTGCGCTCAGCCAGTGAGTGCTGTGAGCACACCGGTCATCCCTATATAGGATCTGAACCCGCGGCGGCGGGAGCGCTGCTGCGCTCCCAGCGCCGCACTCTCCCAAGTGTGCCACGGGCTGGGCCCCACCTCACTATCTTGATTGCTGTCGCATTATAGTAAGTCCTGATGTTGGGTAGTCCTTCTCCTTTGTTCTTCTTCAATATTATGTTGACTATTCTGGGTCTTCTGCCTTTTCTTAAAAACTTTAGAATAAATTTGCTGATATCTACAAAATAACTTGATGGTATTTGGATTTGGATTGTGTAGAATCTATAGATCAGGTTGGAAAGAACTGATAGCATGACAAACTTGAGCCTTCCTATCCATGAGCATGGAATAGCTTTCCATTTATTTAGTTGTTTGATTTTTTTCATCAGAGTTTTGTAGTTTTCCTCATATAGATCTTGTACATATTTTGTTAGATTTATACCTAAGTATTTTTGGATGTATGAATGTCAATGGTGTGTTTTTAATTTCAAGTTGTATTTTTAATTATAATTGTTCATTGCTGATATGTAGGAAAGCTATTATTTTTGTATACTAACCTTGTATTCTGCAACCTTGCCGTAATCACTTAATAGCTCCAGGAGGGTTTTGTTGTTGTTGTTGTTAATTCTTTGGGATTTTCTTTGCAAACAATCATATCATCTGTGAACAAAGACAGTTTTATTTCTTTCTTCTCAATCTGTATAACTGTTATTTACTTTTTGGGGGGTCTTATTGCATTGGTTAGGACTTCCCATACAATGTTGAATGGAGTGGTGAGTGGGAACATCCTTGCCTTGTTTCTGATTTAAAGGAGACAGCATCTGGTTTCTTACCACTGAGCATGATGTTAGGTACAGTTATTTTGTAGCTTTTCTTTATCAAGTTGAGGAAGCTCCCCTCTATTCTTAGTTTGTTGAGGGTATTTTTTTTTAAGAATCACGAATGAATGTAGGATTTTGTAAAATGCTTTTCTGCATATATTGATATGTTCATGTGATTTTTTTTCTTCTTTAGTCTGTTGATTGATGAATTACATTACTTGATTTCAAATCAGTTGAACTAGACTTGTATCTCTGGAATAAAACCCACTTGGTCATGGCGTATAATTCTTTTTATATATTTTTGGATTCTATTTATTAATATTTTGTTGAGGATTTTTCGATGTATGTTCATGAGATATATTGGTCTATAGTTTTCCTTTTTTAATACCTTCCTCTGGTTTTGGCATTACGGTAATGCCATAGAATGAGTTACAAAGTGTTTCTTCAGCTTTTATTTTCTGGAAGATATTGTAGAGAATTAGTATCATTTTTTTCCTTAAATGTCCATTAGAATTCACCAGTGAACCCATCTGGGTCTGGTACTTTCTGTTTTGAAAGGTTATTAATTACCAGTTCAATTTCCTTAATAGATATTGGTTTATTCAGATTATCTATTTCTCCTTGTGTGAGTTTTAGTAGATTGCGTCTTTCAAGAAAATGGTCCATTATCATGTAAGTTATCATATTTGTGGTGATAGAGTTGTTCCTAATATTCCTTTGTTATTCTTTTAATGTTCATGGAATCAGTAATAGTGCCCCCTCATACCATTTTTTGGTATATCATTATATTTTAATATGCAATTTTTATTACAGGTGAGGACAGATATGTTTTCAAATAGCCTGTTTTATTTCTTTTATAAACTGCCAATTTATGTACTTGGCCTCTTTTTTTTTTTTCTGAGGCTTATTATATATTAAATGATTAACCTTTTGGCCTGTCAGATATACTGCAAATGTATTTATTCCGGCTTATTATTTTCCTTTTTGTTTTACGTTTATATTCTTCATACATAAGCTTTAGATAAAGTCTTTCAGTAGTTTTTAAAATTGTTTCTTCCTTTGCTATTGTGCAAAATAATACCTAACATTTACAGAGCATTTACTGTGTGTCAGGCAATATATATAGCAATTTACATGCATTATCTAAGTTAAACTTCAAACAATCCTTGTGGTAGGTACTATTGTTTTCATTTTATGGATCAGAAAACTGAGGCACAAATAG